GATCAACATTGTTAATTTTACAATATTTCAATTATTATATTATATTGACAGTGATAAAAATTAAATAAATAAATAACATAATTACTATTTAATCAAATAAAAATTTAATTAATTACAAAAATATAAAAAACAAATAAAAATTAAATATATATATTTTTTACAAGATAAAGCAGACTGTTAAACAGTCAACAGTCGGTTAACCGGAAATTGTCATTGCCAGCGACAGAACTCCAAAAATTGCAAAAAATTCACATTTTTTACACTCCCAGCATGCCAATAATCTAATTACTCATGCCCATGGATCTAATTAAACCGAATAATGTAAGGAAAATGCTAAATTTACTTATTCAATAAATTTTCTACTGAAACAAAAAGTCATCATGAAAATAACCGGTTATTTTATTTTCGGTGTAGTTGAAGGTCGTTGATTGCGACGTTGGTGTAGTTGCCGGTGGTTGATCGGTCAGATTTCTAGCGACTGTTCGTCGGTCGGTCGGTTAGACAGAATTTTTCAAACAGTCTGAAGGGTAAAATCGCCTTTTACTGTGAAGTTTTTTTTTAACTTAATTTTTTTTTCTTTAATTCATTTAATGGGTCAAAGGCCAATGTCAAATTTTGCTACAGTGGAAGAGTCATTTTCGTGTATTTCCTCCCAAACTTTCACCATCCAAGATTGTAAATGATGAAAATAAATTCATGTAGTAAACCTTAAATTAGAAGACCAAATTCACTGATGATGATGATATCAATTCAAGAAAACAATACATATCAACTTCATGCCAATTCAGATAGGCAATTAAAACTGATATTCTCTCGCACACAAGAATTCATTGCTCTTCTTTTTGTTTTCTCTCTCCACTGAAATTTTGAAAGCAAAGCTGGAGATTATTAACTTCTAATCCTTCAAGTGAAAGAAACAGAAGGCATCCCACTAGTTTTTACACCAATTTAGCGGATGGAACCATCCATTCTTACGGTGGTCGGAGTAATTTGGAGAACAGAGTTTCTTGAAGACCGGTGGTTTAGGATATGGGAACCATGGTAGAAGAGGTTTTAATGGTGGTCTGTAGGTTGGACTTGGTGCAGGAGATGGCTGGGGAGCTGGTGATAGAGGAGGTCGCGTTGGGATTACTGGTGGTGATGGATCTAAAAACCATGGTTGGCCAAAGTATTTCCAAAATAAGTTTTTCTTCCATTGCCAGTAAGAAATTGGATTGAAAAATGGCCAGAGGAAATCAAAAGTGCAAAACACAGAGGAAAATTTCAGAATTCCCTTTGGTTTCAATATGTATTTTCCTTCAGTTTTTGATTTGAAAACTAGAATCCTGGAATCCTCTATGCCACTGTAGGCTGGACATGCAGCAGATCCACTTTGAAGCTGTGCATAGCATTTCCCCTTCAGTTTTCCTTCATGGAGAATCCCCTCAGGAAGAAAAGCTTTGAATTTTCCATTTCCACAGACTTTTCCTTCCCCTCTTCTTTTTACTTTTCCATTCTTCAGCATGCAATCAATTGTTACATGAAGCCCTGCAAAACATGGAAGTAAATTTTAGTATATATGAGACATCAAACCATGAATATATGTTTTTGACATGTTTGTACGCGTTATTGGGCACAGGAACCTATCGAGGATTGGACTTAAAAAAAAAAGAAAAAGGGTTGAGACTCTTGGACACTAGATGACAAATGTCATTTGTATGCTGAATCGGATAGAATTAAAGTATAAAAAATTGTGATACGTGTATCCAATATTGTCGAGTCGAGCGTGCATCAAGAAGAGCATATATTTACCTGAAAATACTTGACTAGGTTTGATGTTACTCCCTTTGCAGTCAGCACACTCTACAATTCCAGCAACTTCGATTTTCTTGTCATGTGCATAGCAAAAATGCACCACAAATGCAAAGAGCAAAGAACAAATTAGGGAATGAACCCACATTGGAACCTCCTTTGAGACCTTAAGGAAAGAAAAACCCTGTAATGGACAACTCACAAGACATTTGCTATGCATAGAGAGCGACTCATTCAAAGATATTTATAGAGAGGGAGGAAGTTACACAAGTGCACAAACTCTGATGTGAACTTAAGAGCATGTTTGGCTTCAAGTAGAAAAGTAACTTCTTTTAAAAAAAAAAATGTCATTTTCAGTAATATAAGTACCTTAAAAGTGACTTACATTTGAGCATAGCCAAACATGTCAAATAAAGTTTGACTAAAATGAAAAAATAAAACGAACTTTTTGGCTTTTCATTGAAATAATGCTACCTATCACCACCTGTAATTAGTTAAGTCAATGTGATAGTGAGGCCACTGCAGCTTTAGCATTACTCTTCATTGAATGAGTTTAAACTGCATAATTTCGTCTTTATCTACTAATCCTACTTACTGACTTTCATAAATTACACGCTACTTTATAAATTATTGATTTTTTATTTTATTATGTATAGCTCGGAGACATGGAACAAAGAAAATTCTTTTATATGTGGCAATGTTTTGAGGGGCTCGTTCATGATTTTACTATATTTTATTATTGCGTTCTAGAGAAAGTATTAGTCGTAGTGTGATTCATCTCCTAAATAGAAAGACGTATGTCAAGCCGTTCGAATATACCATGAAATAAAATTACATTTATTATTAGGAAAGACAATTACATTTATTAGCTATTTGAAGTTAACTTTATATTAAATTCATATGAAATATTTTGTACATAAATGTCACCTAAATCTGGTGGATTTATATAATCCATTGTAATTATGACTAATGGGCTCGACTATTGTGTATGCAAGAGATAAACATACATACATAATTTCGATACTTGAAATCTACTAATTTGACATGGATCTTGAGTACAAGAAGTCAGTTTGACGTCATTGTGATGCCTTAAATACTTTTACGATTAAAGCTAGTTGAAAAATGAATACCTAGAAGAAAGAAAACCGGTGCTATGCTATGCAAGTTGTATGTAAAACACACGTTTTCGCGAGCTAGATACACATATACATAGATAATTGTGATGGAGCATGCTACGTGTACAACCACCTCATATTTTTTGGAGGGGGGGCACAATTTTTTTATTCATCGTGAGCCCCCTCCCATGCTGTACAACTAGTAAAATTGAATGGCGATACTCAAAATTTACTATTTACCTTGAAGATCTCATGTCGATGAATTAAGTTTGAAGCCGGAGTACAGCCTTACATAAAGTAGTTTGATGACAGAATTAGCAATCACGTGAGAGCAAACCGGTGCTCCGTCATGTTAGGTTGTATGTGAAGTGAATGTTATGCGAGTTGGTTTTAGAGTGTATTGTCTCGTAATCGTCTTTTTGTGTATGATGGCCGTCACTATTTATAGGAATTGAAATTATTGACACGTTAGTAATTTTCTTTGAATAGAGCGTCAATTAGGAAGAACGACTATAATTTTCCTCATGAAAAATACCAATTGAAATGACATTATTAATGTATGATTGATTTGCCAATGTGAATCCACATGTACTTTGTTGTTGGATCCACCCCATATCTTGGGGTGGATTACGGGCTCAAGCCCAACAAATTGGTCTAATTAAAAAGGCTCAAGCCACGTTAGTAATCTGCAATTACTCTTTACATGTGATGAATTGAGGAAAAAAATTGTGTATGTGAGGCACCAGTCAGCCCCAAATTGAAGAGAGCCTTATGTGGTTTAAGGCGTGATCGTTAATGTTCTTGATTTAAGTGCATTGTTAATGGCAGATTTCATAGGGATATAGAAAGGCACAAGTTAAAGTAAGTTTAATTTTACTAGAGAGTTTGTTAGATATATTAGGAACATTAATTATCAATTCTAATATTGTATCGATAATGGGAATTTGATAATTAAAGTTGAAAAACACAGTTCATGTCAAAGTCCTAGTGCCCTTATAATGTTCCAAACTTCTCCAAATTTCTCATTCAAAGCTTTATTTTAATTTCAAGTAGTTAACAAAATTTCACTCAAAATTTGGCATAGTTCGGTTAAGGCTAGATTTAATTGACTTTTATAGTTAGATAAAAGTCCTTGTGGTATCGAGATTCTATTCACTCTTTATTGTTGAGAAATTATTTATTTTGCCGTGTGGATCAACATATGTAATTAATTGTAGAGAAAATTACACAAAATTCTAGTATTAAAATCCTGAATTCTAAAATCGAGGGGGAACTTTCACTTTTCAAAAATCAGATTTTTTATTTCAATTAAGATTTTTTAAAATAATTTTTTTATTGAATATATATACTCCAATATACACAAACCCTAATTAATTCTCACTCACTCACTCACACACACACTCTCTACATTTCTCCCACAATAACCTAGTCGTCTCCTTCTGTTCTCTCTCTACACAGCCCGTCGCTGCCCGCTGTCTTGAGGATTGCTGGCGAATCACCCACCATCGGAATTTGTGTAATGGTGGTGATAGTATTTGTGTGGTGGCGGTGTTGTGGCGGTGGCTAGTGGCATCTAATTTGATGGTTGTGGTGATGGTGGTAGATCTGGCGGTGATGTATGGCGCAAAGTGGTGTTTGTGTGGTGGTGTTGATGGTGGCGAAGCAGATCTACGACCTGTGTGTGCTAAGTGGTGATTTGTATGGTGGTGGTGATGGTGTTTGTGTGGTGGCGGGCAGTGTCGAATTTGGTGGTTGTGATAGTTGATGGTGCATCTGGCAGTGAGGTGCGATGGTGGGTTGCAATGCGAAGTGGTGTTTTGTGGGGGGGGGGGGGGGGTGGGGGGAGGAAAGGTGTGTTCATTGTGTGGTGGCGAATCTGGCGGTTGTAATGATGGTGGTGGATTTAGCGGTGTGGTGCGGTGGTGGCACAGGTGGTTGATGGCGGGTGTGGTGCGATAGTTGTGGCAGTTTTGGTTGTTAAGAGTGTGATGGTGGCAGCTTCCATATTTTGATGGTGGTGGTGGTCGTGACAGTGGGTGCGGTGGTGACGATGAGATGTTGGTGGCCATGGTCTGTCGATGTAGATGTGTTGATTTTATTTGAGATAGTGATGTTGCTGTCGGGTGATGTGATAGTTCTGGCAGTGACAATGGCGATGGCGCTGTTGGAGGCAATGGTTGTTTGGCGGTGGTCATAGATTAATTGGTGATTGTGACCATTAAATTGATTAATTTGTGATCAATAAACAATATGTGACCAATAAAGATGATAAATTGTTATTAAGAAATAATGTGTGATCTAAAAAATTCATAATATGTGATTGTTTAATAAGTTGTGATCTATAATATTTGTGATATATGATCAATAAATAAATTTTGGCATAAAAATTTTTGATCTGTGATTGATGAACAAATTGTAACAGACAAAATTTTTGAATTGTGATCGTAAAATAAATTGTGACATTAAAAAGTTTTGATTTGTGATCGAAAAATAATATGTGGCTAATTAAATTGTATAGATCTAATACCTTAATATATTTAATTAATAAAATATATAATTAAATTAATTAAATTATAAATAATTTTTAAAGAATATCTGATTTTTGAAATTTGAAACTTTTATTACTACTTTTGAAATGAGCAATATTTATCCTCTAACTTATGAAATTTTCTCTTAATTGTATACAAAGACCATCTTAAAGTTAAACCCCAAACTTAAATTGATCTAATAAAAAATTAAGTAATTGTGCTAAGTATATATAAATAAAGTGTGATTCAGACTAGATTCTTTTAAAATTATATTTCACAATAGGTGAAATGCATACAGAAGCTATATATAGTGTTATGGTCTTCAATTTATATGTAACTTTTCATTTTTTATGTCATCTCATTAAGATAAAATACAAGAACAAAACATATTGAAGAGGAAGATCTAAAAAATTCACAATAAAGAACAGACAATCTCTAATAAAAAATCAAAAAGAAGGAATTCAAGAATCAAGATTATGAATTAAGAAGCAAAACTAAGATTAAGAACTCAAGAATCAAAAGAGTCAATATTCAAGATTCAAAATTTGGAAACAAGATCTAGTATTAAATAAACATTCCCAATAAATTAATGCATGTTCTGCACATTATAATTTCCTTGGTGATTTGACATGAAAGATCTTGGAAATAAAATAATTAGGTTTTTATGTTATCAAGATTTAAATTTTCATAAAATTCCTACGAGTGATATCAGAGCTAACTTCATGTTAAACCATTAAGATTTTAGGAAGAAAATTATGAAATAAATTCATATATTGAATTTTGGAATCTTCTAATTTGGAACAGTAATTTTAGTTATAAATTTTGAAATTCAGAATTTTTCAAAAAAGAATTTTAGGGTTGAAAATTATAATTTGGATTTTCAAATTTAAGATGTAAAATTTAAGTCTAAAATTCAAAAATTCGGATTTTTTGGGAGAATTCAAAAAAAGAATGAACAAGGACAGTTGGAGCATTGCGACGCCGCGTTTGGGGATTGCCTGTTGCTATGCAGTGGTGTAGCGACTCTGCTTTAGCATTGTCCGGGCGCTGTAGCGCTCAACTTCGGCTTGTATTTATTATTTTTTTTGTGAAAACAAAAAAAGAAAAAAAAAAATTAAAAGGCCAAGGGGTAATCAATTTCAAGTCTTGGTATTTGAAATTTCTTTCGAATTACTAATAGATTAATTGAAGCAACATATTATCAAATTAACCTATGGTGTAGCGACTCTGCTTTAGCATTGTCCGGGCGCTGTAGCGCTCAACTTCGGCTTGTATTTATTATTTTTTTTGTGAAAACACAAAAAGAAAAAAAAAAATTAAAAGGCCAAGGGGTAATCAATTTCAAGTCTTGGTATTTGAAATTTCTTTCGAATTACTAATAGATTAATTGAAGCAACATATTATCAAATTAACCTCTCTTGATTAAATTAATTTATTTGGAATATTAGGAAGGTTTTGTGTATGTAATTCATGCGAATATTCACCTGCCCAAAGGAAGATTAATATTTAACCGAATTATTTGCACACATGTGGTAATAAATTTGTGATACGTAACATCCCAAAATTTTCTAGTAAAGATTTTTAATATTTTAGGGAGTTTGTTTTTAATTTTAGGGACTTAATTTAATGATAGAATAAATGTTATTAGGGATTGTAATTAAAAATAATATTATGGGATTGAAAATGCAATTTTATAATTGCATAATTGCCTAGGGGTTAAAGGTGCAATTTTATAAACAAAGAAATAATTGCATATGTGATTCAAGGTCTAAAGATATAATTTTAAAATCCAATCAAATGATTGCACATTATCATAGGGGTTAGATGTGTAATTTCATAAATTGCACACTTAACCCCTACCAACTATAAATAGAGGATAGTTGTGAAATGTGACATACCATTCCTCCCATCATTTTCACTCCTTAAGGTATGTCTTTTCATTAAGTTAATTATGTTAAATTTTTCTTCAGTTAATTATTTTTAATTTTTCTTCAGTTAATTATTTCTTTAGATAATTATTTTAAGTACTTATTTGGTTTATAAATAGGAATTAAAATTTGTTGCTTTAGGGTTCTTTAGTAATTGATAAAAGATAATATTATAGTTAAGTTTAATTAATAAAATCAAGGAAGTTAATTATAATTTTTTCATTTCAAAATCTTAACTTTGAAAATTTTAAAACCTATAAACTAGTTGAAGATATATTGAGTTTTAGTTTACTTAGCTTAAACTACTATTTGCCTGCAATGATATAGGCTTCTTGCACGAAATCAAGAGATTTTTGTAATAGAACTTTGACATGAAAAATCTTGATGACGTCTTTTTTGTATTAAGTATATAGATACACTTGGATCATTCTCAGGGCACTTTTGAATTATCACAAAAGAGCTCTGTTGATAAGGTTTTTAAGAGATTTGGAATGCAAGAATATAAACAAGGTAATATACATATTAATAAGGGAGACATGTTTAGTTTCAATCAATGACCTAGGATAAATTTAAAGAAAAGGAAATACAATAAAATCCCTTTGCTTCAGTAGTTGGAAGTTTAATGTATGCTTAGATTTGCACACTCCAGATATAGCATTCACTGTTGGAATGCCGTGGAGATATTTAAGTAACTTTGGGATGGAATTTGAAAAGCAGCCAATTAGGTTATTCGGTATTTATAGAGAACTAAGGATTACATGATCACATACAGAAAATCAAATCAATTGGAAATCATTGAATATTCTAATTCTGATAATGGAATATGACAGTGAAATTCTGTAAATGGGTTGCACATTTGAAATGGAATTGAAAGACCACTTAAATTATTATGTAACAATAACAATTTTGTATTCCAATAGGAGTTTCACGATGTAAAAGTTTATAGACATTAAGTTTGTTGAGGAAAAAATCCAGAGTGGTCTGGTTGGATCCATTTACTAAATGGCTAACCCAAGATCTTTCATGAGCATAATGCTCACATGGGTGTTGCATCTTTTGATGATATGCTAGTTTAGTAGGAGTTTGTGTTCAAATGTTGTCTGTCTTAAATACATATTTTTATCCATGTATATTTAGTTTATTAAAAAATAAAGTATTCAGTTCATTTTTCATTTTGATTATAACTTTGGTTTGATCTCATTAAAGAATAAGGTAAGATCGATTGGAAACAAGCATGTTTAGATCATATTGCATGTAATTTTCATGTTATGCATCCACACTTGATTTATGTCATTTCATTGTGTTAATATACGTGATCATTGAGGATGCAGTTATGATACTCTTAATGAAAACCATTTTGATCCTATATTAATATAATTGATGGACGAGATTGTTCGGAAATGTCTTTTGGCTATGATAGCAAAAAATTTTGAGCTCATAAAGCTATACATATTTATAAGGTAACATATGTTGTCCAAGTGGGAGATTATTGAAAAATTATTTAATTTACCATGTGGGTCGACATATATAATTAATTGTATATAAAGTTAAGCTCATAATTAAAGTGATCTAATAAAGAAGAAGTAATTGGATTTAGGGCATTTAAATAAAACGTGGGTCGAATTATATGTATAGAGATCGTATTATTTTAGAATTGTATTTCATGAAGGGAGAAATACATAGGGTTGGAAACTGTTCGGTTTAGGGTCGATTTACCCAAAACCATCACCGAACCATCAATTTTTTGTCATACCATAACCGCACCATAACTACGTAAGTTGGTTCGGTTCGGCTTGATTCAGGCGATTAATAACCACAAAAATAAATTATTTTCTATAGGTCCAGCCATCAAATTGAAAAAAAAAAAATTTATGAAAAAATTCAGTGAAAACAAAAACACAATACTAAGTCAATCTAGCAAACAATATCCTAAATGAAAATACAAACGATATCCCAATTTCCTAAATGCAAAATTTGAATTTAACAAACAATTTTCATATATGTTTAATATTTATGTAGTAGGGTGTAGGGTTACTAGGTTAGGTTAGTTGGACTTAGCGAGTCAATAATGGACTAGAATTTTGGGCTCGACAGAATCACAGAAAGAATAATGGAAAGCCCAATTACTAATTCATTTTTTTAACGGGTAATCGGTTCGGGATGGGGCGACAGCGTAAATACCATATTCGTCCCGTCGCAAACCGAGGCATTAAAATCAAATACCATATCCATCATATTGCGCCATCGATTTGGTTTTTTTCACCCCATTAAGTTCGATTAACCGCAATTTTCGATTTTGATAGTTCGAATTGTCATTCCTAAAAATACATATGGAAACTATATAGGGAGTTATGATCACCAATTCATATGTAACTTCTTATTCTTCGTGTAATCCTATTAACAGAATACAACAGAAAGCATATTAAAGATGAAGATTCAAAAAATCCACAATCAAAAATTAAGATGAATGAATTCAAGAATCAATACTATGGATCAAAAAGCAAAACCAAGATAAAAAAACTCAAGAATCAAAAGAGTCAATATTCAAGATCCGGAATCAAGATCTAGTATTAAAGAAATATTCCCAATGAATTAAGATATATTCTGCACTTTATAATTATCTTGATCATTTGACATGAAGGATTTTGACAATAAAGTAATTAAAATTTCATGTTATTGAGATTTAAAGTTTTATAAAATTCCTACATTTATTACTTGTCAATCATACCATGCACTATTAGGTAGCTTTTTCAGAAGTCCAAATTAGGGTTCTTTTCTTTTCCCTATCTCAAAGAAAGTAATTATGATTTGAATTCAACAAACTAATACACATCAACGCCATGCAAATAACTCTGGGAATTAAAACTGATCCATCTCTCTTAGCATTCATTTATTTTCAGTTGTTTACTGTCTGAGAGTTTTTCATTGCATAAATGGAAATTTTAACATCTAAAATAAGTGAAACTAGATGTTTCCAGCTCAGTTTCACACCAGCTGAAGCCTACGGGGGAGGAATAAGAGGAGGTAGGGGAGGAAACGGGAACCACCCGATCTTAGGGTGGTGGAAGTAATGTGGAGGAATCCATGGGAAAGGAAAACAGGGTTTCCAGAGGATTGGTGGAAATGGCTTGTAAATTGGAACCGGTGGTGGAAGTGGCTGGTAAACTGGTGGATTGTATATTGGAACTAGTGGTTTGTAGATTGGAACTGGTGGTGGAACTGGCTTTACTGGTGGTTTGTGAATTGGAACCGGTGACGGAAGTTTCTTTACCGGTGGTTTATAGATTGGAACCTGTGGAGGAAGTGGCTTTACTGGTGATTTGGATATTGGAAGCGGTGGCAGAACTGGCTTTATTGGTGGTTTGGAGATTGGAATTGGTGGGGGAAGTAGCTTTACCGGTGGCTTTGGTTTGTAAATTGGAATTGGAGGAGGAAGTGGCTGGTAAATTGGTGGTGGGGTTGGATTTATGGGTGACTGAGTAGGAGGCTGGCTGGGCGCTGGTGGGTTTGGCTGGGAATGCAGAGGTGGCATTGACATGTAAATGGGAGGGCATGGTTTGTGAAAAATTGGTGGAAATGGAGGTAAAAACCATGGATAGCCAAAATGGTTCAATGGGGGAAAATTTTTCTCCCATGGAGGGAAACGTGGATGACGAAATGGCCAATAGAAATCAGATTTGCATAATAAATAGGAAAATTTCAGAACTCCCTTTGGTTTCAATCTGTATTTTCCATCAGTTTTTGATTTGAAAACGACAATCTTGGATTCCTCTAGGCCACTGTGGACTGGACATGCAGCAGATGCAGTGTAAAGTTGAGCATAGCATTCCTCCTTGAGTTTTCCTTCCTGCAGAATCCTCTCAGGAAGTAAAACTTCGAATTTTCCTCCTTCCTCAACTTTTCCTTTCCCCCTGCTTTTAACTTCTCCATTCTTGAGCTTGCATTCAATGGTTACATGTAGCCCTGCAAAACATGGAGAACAATTTAGTATACACGAGACGTCCATGAATATACTACAAAAGTGACTTAACTTCTTTTTCTTCGTTAATCTTGTATCGTGTTATCCAATCCAATTTGTCATTTGTACATTGAATCAGATAAGATTAAAGAACAGAGATATGCAACATCCTAATCCACTATCACATACATGTAAACGTTTGTTAGTTATGATGTTCAATACTATCTAGTCGAGCATGCATCAGGAAGAAGGTGAATTTACCTGAAGAGGTTTGACTAGATTTGATGTTGCTCTCTTTGCAGTCAGCACATTCTGCAATCCCAGCAACCTCAATTTTCTTGTCATTTGCATAGCTAAAACTCAGTACAAATGCAAAGAACAAAGAACAAATTAGAAAATGAACCCACATTGGAACTTCCCTCTGAGATCTCAAGGAGAGAAAAACCCTAAAATTGAGAACTCACAAGATCATAGTTATATATATAGAGGAGATACATCATACACACACAAACTCTGAAGTGTACTTGTAAGTAGCTTAAAAGTGACTTAGTTTTAAGCACAATTAAACATGTTACGTTTAGCCTCATATTTTGGCATTCATGGGTATATAAATATAAAGATTTAAATGTGAGAATTGAAAAAATCTTCTTGATTGGGTGCCACTCTTCTTAATATCAAAATTACTTTTATTTATTTTTAAATCCACCATATAGCCCCTGATAGAAATTAAAATTCAGATTTTAATTTAAGTTAAAGTGTTAAAGTCAAAAATTAATTTTGATCACACATTTTATCAAAATTTACTAAAAATCTGATTTTCAATTCTACCAAATAGGGCCTTAATAACATTGAAGGCTTTTCTATTGACGATTTTCGTTTAATTATTTTATTGATTTAAAATAAATGGGAGTGCAAAAGTTACAAAATAAAGAGTCATAACCTTTTGCTAAGGTGCAATCTAGACAATCAATCTTGAAAAGTTGTGATCTAATGGATGAAATTAATTTTGCCAAAAGATGTAATTGTTAGGAAGTGGCACATGGAAATCTATAAACAAGACACTCCTAATTTAATTTTCTTCACCCCAAATTAATCCCATATAATTGATTTCTAATTCTTTCTCCAAATTATATCAAAATAATTTCTACATTATTTTGATTTTCGTATTCGATATTTCGTATTTGATATCTTCCGTTCTAGAAGAGTATGGTCAAACGTTGATTCACCGACAAAATTAATATTATGATATATTAATTTTGGAAGAAGCATTGTATTTTGGGAGACAGACTTCCATTAGATTCTGTTAGCATTTGCGCACGGGATGAAATTCGTTTTAAGGAAATCTACATTAGCATACCTCGCTTCATTTTATCTTTTTTCGCATTTCCGCATTTTTTTGTTTGAGTAAGTTGTGATTTGCTCATTATTATACACTTACCTTGGTTTCGGTAAGTTGTTACTCTATTCGTCTTTATATGTACGTACTTTTGTTTACGGAATATAATTTATGCACTAATCAACCAACACCTTAAAGGTTGAGTAAAATCCAAAATCAAAAGAAATAAAAAAAATTAGCTTATTAAAAGCACAATTAACTTCATTGAATCAGTTCATATGCATAATTCTGTCTTTTTCTACTGAACCTATTTACCAAGCACCAACTCTCATTCAAGATTTTACTGTCTTTTTCCTTTTAGCTTAAAGTTGGGTAGTAGAAAAGAAATTACATTTATGAGTCATTTATGGCTAGTCATCTGCATATTAGTTTCACACGAAACATTTTGTATATAAATGTCAACCAAATTAGGTTACAATTTAAAAATATAAATCCAATCTAATTAACATTTAGTACATAAATTGTCAACGAAATTTGGTCACGATTTTAACATATAAATCCAAGCAAATTAAACCTAGGCCCTGTTTGAGCCGCACTATTTGGAAAAAAATATATTTTTAAATAGTGATTTGACATTATTTCAACAATATATTTTCAATAAAATAATATTACACGCAAATCAATTTTTTTTCTTATTTTTTAATCACACATTCTCCATTAATCTACTAATCCAAAATACATTCTTTAAAAATAATATGGCTCAAACACACACTAGATAAATATTTGCAAATTGAGAGATTTCTACTTAATTTTGCATAAATATTATCATTTTAGGTAAACCGTACTTGAAGGTATTTAAAGTAAAAAAGAAGATTTTGAACCAAATTCAAGTTAGTTTATATCAATTGAAAACTAATCTAATTGCACGAGATTGACAAGAAGCATTAAGATAGCAATTGAAGAAAAGTTACAAGTTCAATATATGGAAGTTGAGGACTGATTTGCATGCTTTCAAAACTAGAAATGGGCCATTTTGGGTGATTATGAAGGTTTGGGGATCAATGTGGAAAGCTTTTGGAAGTTGCAAAATCAATGTGTAACATTTGGAGTAAAAGGGACCAAAATCATAGAGAAAAACTTGATGCGAGGATAAAAGTGTAAGACGTTGATAGTTGTAGGGGTGATTGCGGTTTGCAAACTACTGTCCAATCGCAATAAAATCAAAAACAAAAAATTTTCGCGGGCTAATTGCGATTTGTAAACCATTGTCCATCTAGGGGAAAATTTCAATTTTTATCCTTTTTATTTCAAGGTATTTTGGTCTATTTCTAGGAACGGCTTTTAAGGCGTATTGAATACTATGTAAGGATCTATTTTGGTAAAAAAAAAAAAAAAGGTTTATACACGTTATACATTTGGGGAGAAAAAAAGAAAAGAAAAGAGAAGATACAATGGAGAAGCGAAAGAATAAGCTAGAGTTTCAACTCTTTGCAGCAAAGAAAGTTATTCTTGTTACAAGTTTATATTTTTCTCCTTTATCCTTTGAACCTTGCGAAGTACTCCAATTGATTCAGAGATGACGAAATACATCAGAGTTGACTTTTGGGAAAATTTGCAAGTCCAAGAATTTATGTTCCCAGTTTATCCTTTAAATAAAATGGTGGGAGGTTATTTAAAACTGAAAGAATGAGAGGGTTATTTTTGGAAATTGGTTTTAAAAAATGAGGGTATTTTTGACATTTGAATTTAAAAGTTTTTTGCAACAATTAATGTGCCCGGCAATACATTGTGCAGTTCGTAATTTTTTAAGAGCTAAAGTATTGTTGAAAAATGAGAGATTCAAACGGGGGCTATATATGTGCACATGATACAATGTTTAGTATTATGGCCATGTTTGGATCCCGTATTTAGGGAATAATAGATTTTGGAATAATGATTTTTTTTTTTTTTTTGGAGAATGTGTGACAATAGGGAATTGTTTTGGATTTATGTGTAAAATTATTTTATGAAAGAATGTGTNTTGTATAAGTTCAAAGAATTTTTTTTATTATTTTTTTATCTACATGACATTGATATCTAAGATATATCGTGACAAGTTCATTGGTGGTTTTGGTTGGGAAAGGAAGAGCTAGAATTGACCATACCGAGGGACAGGACCTGAAGCGAAAGATGGGAACTAGCAGAATTAATGTGTTCCAATTTTTAGCCTTGCACCAACCATCCAATGGACCATAAAGTGTTGGATTGTTTTCATGAGGCCCTCTCGAGAATGAGAGGGCCATGGAGGTTGTGACCATGTGACCGCATTATAAAAAACTTACCATTATGTTAGTTTTTTGACTTTTTTATTTGAAATTGGTTGCTTTTCATCATTGTTTTGCACCATTTTGTGAAAAACTTGTCAAGACCTATAAATAGGTGATCCAAGTGCAAGAAAAAATATATTAAGTTTCATTAAAATTTATCCCCAAATACACCTTCAATATTGAGAAAATTTATCACATAATCCTTCCATTTTCACTTGTTCATTGTGAAGAAACACCTTTACTTTTTTGGTCTTCTTCTTGTCAAGGCTTGTTTAATCCTACAAACTATTAGTCAGAAATCCTTAAAAAGTATTGGAAAGGAGACAAATAACGGTTGAGGACAGCGAGATTAATTTTGTGTTCAAGCCTTTATTGATATACTTTTATAATTTTCTTCTCCATTGTCATTATTTTTCCAACAATCTCAAACGTTATTTGTTACTATTATTACAATGGAAACAGAATCTACACTTACTACTATCAAAATGATGAATCAAGACTTAGTACGCTTGGACAGATTCGATGGTGCAAATTTCACAAAATGACAAGACAAACTTAAATTTCTATTAACGGCCTTGAAGATCTTCTATGTGCTTGATCCGAAATTGGAGCCCATTCCCGATGCAACTGACAATGATACCGAAGAAATTCGCGTAGAAAGGAAGAAACATGAAGAGGATGAATTGATATGTCGTGGCCATATCCTAAATGCATTATCCGATCGCCTCTATGATCTCTACACCAACACTACATCGACAAAAGAAATCTGGTACGCGTTAGAAAGCAAATACAAAGTCGAGGAGGAAGGTACCAAAAAGTTCTTAATATCTAAGTATTTTGATTTCAAATTTTTGGATAATATACCATTATTGCCTCAAGTACAAGAGTTACAAGTAATTGTAAACAAACTGAAAGCGGTAAAAATCGAACTTTTCGAAACTTTCCAAGTGGGAGCAATTATTGCTAAACTTCCTGATTCTTGGAAAGGATATAAGAAGAAGATTCTTCACAATTCCGAAGACTTTTCTTTGGAAGATATACAAAAAATCTTCATATTGAGAAAGAATTAAGGGCAAGAGATAAGATTGAAAATTCTTATGAGGGCCCTTCAAAGGCTAATGCCGTGGACAATGTGGATAACTCCAACAAATTTAAAAAAAAAGGAAAATTCTTGGTCCTAGAAAGGATCAAGCAAAGTTCAAAAATAATGCCAAAGGACTTTGCTATGTTTGTGGAAAATCGGAATACTATGCCAAGGATTGTAGACACAAGAAACAACAAAAGAAAGAAGGACAAGTGAACTCCGTTGATGAGATTATCTCCACGGTGAGTGAAATCAATGCAATCTAAGGCAAAGTTCTGACCTAGTGATATGATACATGCACTACAATTCATGTATGTTATGATAAGTCTCTCTTCAAAACATATCATGACATTGAAGACAATCAAGAGATACAAATGAAAAACGAAGGAAGATCAAAAGTGATTGGCAAAGGAAATGTGGAACTCATTTTCTCTTGGGGAAAGAATATCACTTTGACAAATGTCTTGCATGTATCGGAAATGAATAGAAACTTAGCAAGTGGTGTACTATTGGGAAAACTTGGAATTAAATCTGTTTTTGAATCTGAAAAGCTTGTATTAACCCATAATGGGCACTTTGTTGGAAAGGGCTATTCCACCGAAGGAATGATCAAACTATGTACTATTGAGGATAACTCAAATAAATTTAAATCTTTTGTGTATGTTATTGATTCATTTAATTTATGGCATGATAGATTAGCACATATAGGAGTTAATACTATGAAAAGAATGATTAAATATGGATTAAAACAATGATTGAAA